AGGTGGAGTTTCGGGAGAAATAGACCTTGACATTTGGGAGTTGTAGTCACTGAGATTCACAGTTCACCTACAATCAAAGAACATTCTGAACCCCACAAATGACGGAATCGGGGCAAACTTTCCACACTGAACCCCCGTGACCAACAGAAAATACTTAAGGCCATCGAATCCCACTCTCTTCACCAGGGCAAGAAAACGTAATCAAAGTCCTCCTGACAAAGAGCCATCCAGCCATAGATAGAGATAGATATGATTCTCTCACACACAGATATAGTATCATAGATTTGAAAGGGACCCCTAAAGAAGAGCAATTATATGTTGCACGTTCCAGAGTAGGCAAACCAGACACTCTCCACATCAACACTGACAAAGAAACAACAAGGAATACTGTTTACCCACAAGCATAAAGGAATTACATATATTAGAAACCATTACTTAATTTTCCAGATCACCAGACTGGGCCACAGCAACGCCTGGCAGGGGACGGCTAGTAATAATAATAATAACTTGCTCCCCAGAGATAGTAGAGAAGCCCCCACCCTGGCAGTCTTCAGAAAGAGCTTGAAAACCTGGCTGTTCCAGTGTGGCTTCAAAGGATGAATGAACAGTAACACCCTGACATGGCCTACCTATGTAAAAAGGCCCGCAGTAGGGCTCAATCCTGTCCCCGATGTTGTTTAACATCTACATGAAGTCACAGGGAGAGATCATCCGGAGTTTCGGACTAAGATGTTATCTCTATGCAGATGATGTCCAAATCTGTCACTCCTTCCCACCTGTTACCAAGGAGGCTGTCCAAACCTTGAACCAGTGCTTGATAGCTGTGTCGAACTGGATGAGAGCTAACAAATTGAAATTGAATCCAGACAAGACAGAGGTCCTACTGGTCAGTCGTAAGGCCAAACAGGGCATAGGGTTACAGCCTGTGTTAGATGGGGTTACACTCCCCCTAAAGACGCAGGTTCGCAGCTTGGGAGTGATCCTGGACTCATCGCTGAGCCTGGAACTCCAGGTCTCGGTGGTGGTCTCGAGAGCTTTTGCACAATTAAAACTTGTGCACCAGTTGCGCCCGTGCCTTGAGAAGTCGGATCTGGCCACGGTGGTCCACGCTCTTGTTACATCCCGAATAGATTACTGCAACGCACTCTACGTGGGGTTGCCTTTGAAGACTGTTCGGAAACTTCAATTAGTCCAGCGGGCGGCAGCCAGATTTCACCGGAGCGTCATACAGGGAGCATACCACCCCCCTGTTGTGTCAGCTCCACTGGCTGCCGATCCAGTTCCGAGCACAATTCAAAGTGCTGGTTTTGACCTACAAAACCCTATACGGCTCCGGCCCAGTGTATCTGTCCGAACGGATCTCCCTTTACGTCCCACCTCAGAGTTTAAGATCCTCTGGGGAGGCCCTGCCTCTATCACAAGTGAGGTTGGCGGGGATGAGGAGCAGGGCCTTCTCAGTGGTGGCCCCTCACCTGTGGAATTCACTCCCCGGGGAAATTAGGTCATCGACATCCCTCCTCTCTTTTAGAAGGAAATTAAAAACATGGATGTGGGACCAGGCTTTTGGGTAACCTGGCAGATAGATAAAGGACAGTGACAACTAGAATTGATGGTATCTGACAATGTGGAATGAATTTACGGACTCTGAGCTGGCGAACGTTGAGCATTAGATTGGTTTTATTGATTGTGATGTATAATTGATCGTTTTAATTGTTTATAATTGCTGTTTATATATGTTTTATCTTATTGTTTGTGTTGGCATCGAATTGTGCCTTTTGTAAGCCGCCCTGAGTCCCCCCTCGGGGATTGAGAAGGGCCGGGTAGAAATGCGCGAAATAAATAAATAAATTTATTTTACCTGCCACCTTTTCCTTGTTCTGATGCATAGTTGACAAATACTTGTTGGGCTCAATTGCCCCATGCTATCTCCATGCCAAGGGGGGTTTTCTATAGAAGAAGAGAGACGGGGACCATCCCAAAACGGGCTCCCTTTTCCCCACAGGCAGCTTCCCCGCAGCAGCGGGAGATGATGGAGCAGGCGGCCGCCCAGCTGGCTCAGGACAATTGCGAACTGGCCTGTTGCTTCATCCAGAAGACGGCGGTGGAGAAGGCCGGCCCCGAAATGGACAAGAGGCTAGCCACGGTGAGTAGGCCACTCCCGTTTTTGCCCCCCAAGTACCGTGTTTGCCCCCCAAGCCGCTCACCGTTGCCTCATTGGTTCTTCTTTGTGGCAGGAATTTGAGCTCAGGAAACACGCGCGGCAAGAGGGCCGCCGGTACTGCGATCCGGTGGTGTTGACCTACCAGGCGGAACGCATGCCGGAACAGATCAGGTTAAAGGTGAGGAAACCGGGGGTATTGCCAGCCTTCAGAGTTGTAACAGCCCTCCTTGCAATGCCGCCATGGCTGGGGCCTTCCACAGGTCAGAGCAGATATTGACATTCCGTCATATGTGGCTTTTCAGGTCGGTGGTGTGGACCCAAAGCAGTTGGCTGTATATGAAGAATTTGCACGCAATGTCCCGGGTTTCCTACCGACCAACGATTCAACGCAACCCACAGGCATCCTGGCCCAACCAATGAAGGTAAGAATCCCCGGGAAAACGTGGGAGCCACTTGCGGGTCGTGAGGCTTCATTAGAACGTAACTGGAGGGTTTCTGGACATCGGTACTTGCTGGTTAGGTTGGACTTGTTGACACACATTTGGGGGAGATTAAACGGGGTAATAGTAAATATAATAATAATAACTAGCTGTCCCCTGCCACGCGTTGCTGTGGCCCATTCTGGTAGTCATGGGCTTTCTGTGTGGGAGGTTTGGCCCAATTCTATCGTCGGTGGGGTTCAGAATGCTCTGTGATTGTAGGTGAACTATAAATCCCAGCAACTACAACTCACAAATGTTGAGATTCTATTTCCCCCAAACTCCACCAGTGTTCACATTTGGGCATATTGAGTATTTGTGTAGAGGTTGGTCCAGATCCATCATTGTTTGAGTCCACAGTGAACTACAAAGTGAACTACAACTCCAAAACCAAAGGACACTGCCCACCAAAGCCTTTCAGTATTTTCTGTTGGGCATGGGAGAACTGTGTGCCAAGTTTGGTTCAATTCGGTCGTTGGTGGGGTTCAGAATGCTCATTGATCGTAGGTGAACTATAAATCCCAGCAACTACAACTCCCAAATGACAAAATCATAATTTTTTGAGTGATGGTCATTCCTTGTGTTGTGAAACGTTTTGTTGCCAAATTTGGTGTGATTTCGTTCATTGGTTCTTTTGTTTTTAGGGTACTCATTACGTAGAGGACATTTTTATATATATAGATAGATAATAATAATAATATTAATAATAATGGAATGACTAGACAATGGAACTGGACAAGGTTTTAGCAAGGAGGCACTAATGATGTTGGCTTTATTGTTTTTGTTATGGTTTTAAATTGTTTTTAATGTTTTAATTTGCATTTTGATATTATGTGTACTGACTTGTGAACAGGCTTGAGTCGCCGATAGGCTGAGAAAGACGGTATACAAATGTAGTAAATGAATAAATAGTTACCCCATATTTAAGAGATTTCACACAATTGATGTATTAGTACCTCCCAAGTTGATTTGGACGGTCTGTATAGAAATATATAGATTCTGTGTAATGTTGAAAAAGGGAAGAGAATGATCGTGAAATACAATAAACGTATGCCTATACAGTACTGATAGGTCAAATTAAATTGTTAGATTTATTAGGTAATGATTAGAATTAGGTAAAAGGTATAGAATAAACAATCTGATAAGAATAATAAAAATAAGTCTTTAATTGTGAATAGCAGGGAGAAAAGACAAGAACAACATTGGCTAATACAAGAAGAACACTCTTAAAGTTAGAGGACAATATTTCTTGTCACTTTGCTATAGAGCAATGGTTCTCAACATGTGGGTTCCTAGGTGTTTTGGACTTCCAGCTCCCAGAATTCCCAGCTGTTAGGATTTCTGGGAGTTGAAGACCAAAACATTTGGGGACCCACAGGTAGAAAACCACTGTTTTAAATGATGTATAGAATTTTTAAAAAAATATTTTGGGGAATGTGTGTAATTGTAACTGAAGAAATTGCAGTACAGTCAGAATGCAGGAAATTATTACAGCAGTAAAAAAATTAACTGGACTGACCTTGAAGGAGCTGGGGGTGGTAACGGCCGACAGGGAGCTCTGGCGTGGACTGGTCCATGAGGTCACGAAGAGTTGGAGACGACTGAACGAATGAACAACAACAAAAAAAATTAAAATTGAATAAGGCCCCAGGACCAGATAGTTATACGACACTATTCTACAAGTCATTCGAGGATGAATTAGCTCCATATTTGTATAAAATAATGCATTTAATTGTAACGAAATTGCCAGAATCATGGAAGGAAGCAACAATAACATTAATTCCAAAAGAATACAGAGACATTACAGTGGGTCAAGCTTTTAATGCTTATGTCTGTTTTCAGTATGACTTGCTCTTCCTCCCCTCCTTGGGCAAAGTGGCAGTTTCATTGGGAAGTGCTTTCCTAGTAATGTTGACAAACGAAAGAAACGTGGGGGGGGTGTGTGTTGTGCAAAGCCTTCCCGTGTGTCCGCACTGACCCGCGGTTCTTGTGTTGTGCCTCCTCTCTTCCTCCCGCCAGCAAGCCTGGGCGACGGACGACGTGGCGCAGATCTACGACAAGTGCATGACGGAGCTGGAGCAGCACCTGCAGTCCATCCCGCACACGCTGGCCATGAACCCCCAGACACAGGCCCTGCGCAGCCTCCTGGAAGCCGTGGTAGTGGCGCGCAACTCCCGGGACGCCATCGCCGCCCTCGGGCTGCTCCAGAAGGTGGGTGGGCAAACACGAGAGCTTCCACCAACAGGAGCAGAGGTCCCCCTGGAAACATGTTGTCCCTGTATGCTGCATTTTCCTGATTGTGGTGTATTTTAGACAAGGATGTATGTCATAGTAACCAAGAGTGAACGCAAACAGTGAGAGAGTTGGACCTTTTTGCTGTGTTTCCTGCAGGCTGTGGAAGGCTTGCTGGATGCCACCAGCGGTGCCGATGCCGACCTGCTCCTGCGCTACCGCGAGTGCCACTTGCTGGTGTTGAAGGCCTTGCAGGACGGGCGCGCTTATGGCTCTCCGTGGTGCAACAAACAGATCACAAGGTGAGTGGTGGTGGGCAAAGGGTGCGGTGTTAAGGGATGCCAAGGCTTTGCTTTGAAATGTTTTCCCTTTGTTTTCACTCTGATAGTCTTGTAATGTGACGAGCCGCTTTGAGTCTCCTTGTGGAGAGAAAAAGCGGCGTAGAAACAAACAGAATTATAGTAATAATAAATAATAATAAAAATTATAAAATAAATAATAAATAATAAAATAAAAACCAACCTGGGCACAGCATATTATTTGAGAACACAGAAATGTCATAATTATCGTGTCAGGAGCGACTTGAGAAACTGCAAGTCGCTTCTGGTATGAGAGAATTGGCCGTCTGCAAGAACATTGCCCAGAGGACGCCTGGGTGATTTGATGTTTTTATCATCCCTGTGGGAGGCTTCTCTCATGTCCCCGGATGAGGAGCTGGAGCTGATAGAGGGAGCTCATCCTCCTCTCCCCGGATTCGAACCTGCGACCTGTCGGTCTTCAGTCCTGCCGGCACAGGGGTTGAACCCACTGCGCCACCAGGGGCTCCGCCACCATGTCAGACTACACAGAGAAGCCATTGAAATCCACAAGCATGGGGAGAGTTTCAACAGAAAGGAGGAAACCATGAAAATGAACACAGTCTGGCTAAATTACAAATTACAACAGCAAAACAACAGAGAGGAAACAATCAGGGACATCTAGTCACCTCCCAACAAAAGTTTGCCCCAGGCACTGCCAGGCTATCAAATGCTAATCAAGGTGGTCAGTTGAATCATTAACACCTAGCTCCAGCAGACAAGAGTTCTTTGTCCCACCCTGGACATCCTTCCACAGATACATAAACCCAATTTTCCTAGTTCCAATAGACCTCACTACCTCTGAGGATGTTTGCCATAGATGCAGGTGAAACGTCAGGAGAGAATGCCTCTAGAACATGGCCATATAGCCCGAAAAAACGGCACACTGGGTACAGTGCCTAAAGATCTTGGCCTGCACTTAAACACAATTGACGCTGACAAAATCACCATCTGCCACCTTACTGGGATCTGCACACATTATTCACCGATACATCACACAGTCCTAGACTAGGGAAGTGTCCGATGTGTGATCCAATACAACAGCCAGCAGAGTGTCTGTGGACTCATCTTGTTGTGTTTCTAATAATAATAATAATAATAATAATAATAATAATAATAATAGTCCTAGACACTTGGGAAGTGTCCGACATGTGATCCAATGCAACAGCAAGAAGAGTGTCTGCTGTGGACTCATCTTGTTGTGTTAATAATTATAATTATAATAGTAATGGCTGACAAGCAAGGCAGGCAGGTGACCCTTCTGCCCTAAATCTCAGTGCTTTGGATACAGAGACTGCAACAAAACTAAATTGCCCTGACAAGGATGGCTCTGTCTTCCAGGTGCCTGATTGAGTGTCGAGACGAGTATAAATACAACGTGGAGGCCGTGGAGCTTCTGATCCGCAACCACCTGGTGAACATGCAGCAGTACGACCTTCACCTGGCTCAGGTGAGTCGCTTATGCCAGCTGCGTCCCTTGCGTGATGATGTTGTGCAACGGCCATTCATTCACTTTGCCCCCTTCTTTCCCCGGACAGTCGATGGAGAACGGCCTGAACTACATGGCCGTGGCCTTTGCCATGCAGCTGGTGAAGATCCTGCTGGTGGACGAGAGGACGGTGGCCCACATCACCGAGGCCGACCTCTTCCACACCATCGAGACCCTGATGCGGATTAACGCTCACTCCAGAGGGAACGCTCCAGAGGGGTAAGGCTTCAGGGCCAGTGGGGGCCTCCAATGCCAATAGTAAAAATAATAACAATAGTAATATTATTCTTTTACCCTGCCACCATCTCCCCAAAGAGACTTGGGGCAATTTACATATGGATTATATTATACTAGCTGTACCCTGCCATGCATTGCTGTGGCCTATAGTAAGAATTTTTGAAGTAGAGGTAGATATTTGGACTATTATGAAAAAGAGGGACCCTACCTATTCCTTCCCCCCTTTTTCTTCCCCTTTCTCTCCTTTCTTCCTTCTCTACCTCTTCCTTTCATTCCTTCTTTTGCTCCTTGGTTTCATCCTTCCTTCTCTCTTTCCTTCCTTCCCTCCCCCTATCTCTACTTCTTCGTCTCATTTCTTCCTTCCCTTTTTTCTTGCTTCTTTCACTTTTATTTCCTTTTCTCCTTCCTTCCTTCTTTACCTCTTTCCTGCTTGTCCTTTCATTTCTAATTGATCTTGGGAGCTGCTTGGATGTGCAGCTCACCTGGAATCAGTGAAGAGCCTGAACTGGGCTCACCCCTTCCTTCCTCCCTCCCTCCCCGGCACACTCGGCTCATTAGGGGCGGGGGTTACTGGAACCCCTTGATGGCGGCACCCAAGGGGAGAGCTGAAGACAGAGGAAGAAGGGAAGGAGGAATGATAGATGGGAGGGAGGAGAGGAAAGGGGAAGGATGAGGGAAAGAGGGAGGAGAGGAGGAACTATAAAAGCAACTCACATGCTGGTCACCCTCATGGCAGCTTATCTTCACTTATTTTGATTCATCCCACCCAAGGGGAGAGCTTGGGCTCCTTCAAGATGTCACGTGTTGCCATCAGCTCTTTGGGATGGGAGATAGTAATAATAATAATAATAATAGTAATAATAACAACAACAACAACAACAATAATAAGTACAAGTCAATAAAGGTGGTCCCAGTGGTGATCGGCACACTGGGTGCAGTGCCTAAAGACCTTGGCCTGCACTTAAACACAATCGGCGCTGACAAAACTACCACCTGCCAGCTGCAAAAGGCCACCTTACTCGGATCTGCACACATTATTCGTCGATACATCACACAGTCCTAGACACTTGTATTGGATCACACGCTGGACACTTTCCAACAGCCAGCAAAGTGATCTTAAACTCATCTTGTTGTGTTTAAAATAATAATGACAAAAACACTTTATTTATTTATTATGCCATTTTTTGGACGGGTCAAAGACAGACAGAACAGAAAGGAGGTATATTGTGTTGTGTTGACATCCAGTTGAAGATCCAGCTGCTGGTGCCTTTGGAAGCTGCCAGCCACAGGGGGTGCTGTCGCTCCATTCTCTATGACAAAGAGCCATCAGGACTTCCTCCCTTTTGGTCACCGGCATTCTTTGATCTTTTTTCTTTATGGTGTCGTAAGATACCTCCCCTGCATTAGCAGTACCTAATTCTCTAATCGCAGCTGTAAGCTGTTTTTGAACTGCTTAGGTAAATAGTGAGCAGGGCTGACAGTTGGGTGCTCACGCCGACTTGGGGCTTCGAATTTACAACCTTTTGATTGGTAGATCTTATCATTTCTGGTGATTTACCAGCTGTGCTAAAGCCCCGACATTAAAATGTGGCACGTTCCAAAAGTTTTTGTTCTTGCCACTTAGTCTCTATTGAAACACTTGCCCGTTCTTTGTTTGTGTGCCCTAAATATGATGAAAATATACAGACGAAATACAGGAATTTCTTTTTTCCCCACAGTGTTCTCAATAGCAAGGGTGTTGTAAAAACTGTGGCCCTCCCTCCAGGTGTTTTGGGCAGCCGGTAGACTGTTAGGAATTATGGGAGTTGAAGCCCAAAACACTGGGAGGGAGGGCCGAAGTTGGCCCAGGCCTGGTCTAATTGGAAGGGAAAGAAACTAGGGACTCACCAAGCTCTGTCTCCCGCTCCCTTCCAGGCTCCCGCAGTTGATGGAGGTGGTGCGCTCCAACTACGAGGCCATGATCGACCGGGCGCACGGCGGGCCCAACTTCATGATGCACTCAGGCATCTCCCAGGCCTCCGAGTACGACGACCCGCCGGGCCTGCGGGAGAAGGCCGAGTACCTCCTGCGGGAGTGGGTCAACCTCTACCACTCGGCCGCCGCTGGGCGCGACAGCACCAAGGCCTTCTCCGCCTTTGTTGGACAGGTAGAGCTTGGGGAGAGAGAGGTGCTTTTCATTCAACGTCATAACTATGCTGTGTGATGATGCCCTGGCATCCCATTGCCGTGCTGCTGTGTGACATTTGTGCCCCTAACCCTTTCCTTTTCAGGAATCTTGACTCAAGTCTTACACGCCATCAGATCTAATGCGCACCTCCGTTTTCAAAACTTTGAAACAAAACAAAAGCATTTACTGCTGAATGTAATGTGCAGCGGACAAAAATGCACTTTTTGTAATTTGGCCATAAAAAGGTGTGAATTCCAGTGGCTGCATGCTTATTAATCCTTCTATAATAACAAAAGTGTTAGAACATCAAAACTTCCAGTAATGGAAAAGGCAAACCTTGGGGCGCATCTCTGCCGTAGAATGAATCCACTTTAATTGCCTTGACTCAGTGCTAAATATTCATATATTTAATTCTCCTTTCATTGGAAATGTAATCTTGGGAGAATATAATCTAATAAATATGCTCAAAGTTTTGACTAGAAAGCTAAACTGAGTCTTAAGCTTTCTTTTGTTGCGTCACCCCGCAGGGTGACTTGGCCAAATAAACCTATTAAATAATACATTATTTAATTTTTATTATTAAATAAACCTATTAAATAATACTTATTATTAAATAAACCTATTAAATAAACCTATTAAATAATAATGATAATTTTATTTTTATACCCTGCCTCCATCTTCCCAAAAGAACTTGAGGCAGTTTATAAAGGGATAAGCCCAGAAATAGATATTAAAAACAAGCACAAAAAATACAAACAAAAAGCAACAAAAACATCATAATTACCGTATCAAGGCTCTGCATCAAATGCTGGATTCGGGCTCATAATTTCTATGTGCAATAATTCCTACATAGAGCCACGAGAAAGTGCGAGAGACATAAGGCTATTTCCTATCTCCTCGCATCTGGTGTCCAGTTGGATAGAGACCTTAGAACAGTGGTTCGCAACCTTTCTAACACCGTGACCCCTAATTTTTCTTCGTGTTCTCTGTGAATGCACACTTGTGGAGAGACTGCGCCTGCGTGGGCTCCAACGGAAAGTTCTCTAGTTTAAACTTTTCAAGTTTTGGTGGTAATCCCGCCCAGCCCCGGCAGGGCATAAAAGGGCGCCCCGTGTGCACCCTCGCAATTTCTTTTTTTCCGTCGCAAGGCTCACTTCCGTACTTCTGAGATGTCAACAACCAGATTTAAACACCGCAAACCGTGTTCCAGTAAAGTCCCTGACTTTGACAAGTATTCCTTGTGTCTTCTTTGCCTTGACGAGGCACATATCGCCGATTCCTGCCGTCACTGCCAAGCGCTGACGGCACAATCCCGGAAGAACCGGGTTCATCGTCTTCGGTACCTACTCTACCAACAGTTTGTTTTCTTCCCGCCTCCGGGACCTCAGCTTGCTAGTCTCCACAAGTGTGCATTCACAGAGACCACGAAGAAAAAATGGTAGGTTACATACCTGTGACCATCTTTCTTCGAGTGGTGCTCTGCGAATTCACACAAACCCGCCCGGCCTCCCCGCTTACAAACCTCCAATTTTTTCGTTGCCTTTGCGGTGTAGGAATTGCGAGGGTGCGCACAGAGCGCCCTTTTATGCCCTGCCAGGGCTGGGCGGGGTTACCGCCAAAACTAGAGAAGTTTCTGTTGGAGCCCGCGCAGGCGCAGTCTCACGCGAAGGAGCCCTTGCCTGGCTCTCGCCCTTGCCGTCCGGCGAGAGTGCGAGGCAGGCAAGAGTGGCTTTGCGTGAGGCCTGGCTTTGTGCAAAGCCTTGAGGGACGGGGGCCAAAGAAGGTTGCCTCACGACCCCTTCGAAATGGCCAAACGACCTCCTTGGGGGTCGCAACCCCCAGGTTGAGAACCATTGCCTTAGAAGGTTTTTCTTGGGCCAAAAAAAAAGAAGGGACACCATGTTGGGATAAATAAACAAACAACACCCTCTGGGTTGGTATGTGAATTAGCTCCTTCTCTCACAACCTCCCTTTGCTGCGCATGGGACTGATTGTCTCAGGCAAGCAATGAGATCAAACCAAAACACAACAGAGTCTTTATCTGTAGTTTGCAGAGATTTACAACACAGCCTCTGACCTTGTTTGCCGCTCACCACTTGAACTCTGGCTTTCATCCAGACTTTTTTTAGGAGTCTATGTACAACTATTTACTAGAGGTGTGCATTTTGTTTGACTCGGATTTTGTGTGGTTTTGATGGTTGATTTTAATGTACTGATGCTATGCTTTTTAATTTGTATTGATTTTAATGTATGTGTATATTGTATTTCTACGTTTGGAGAAGCGTCTGCACCCTGGCCTTGGCACAGTAGATAGAATCCTAGAGTTGGAAGAGACCCCCAAAGGCCATCTAGTCCAACCTCCTGCTTCATCGAAGCACTCCAGACACATGTTTTAAAGCTACCAGACTCTGAGGCAGAGAGTTCCACAGTTGAACAGCTCTCATTATGGTCAGGGAGTTATATATTGTAAGCCGCTCAGAGTCCCCTTCGGGGAGAGAAGGGAGGCCTATATATGTCGTAAATAAATAAATAAGATAAATGTAATACAATATAATACTACTAATAATACAATATTATAATTATGTATTTATTAGGCTTGGGCAATCCATGGTTCTAAATGGTTCTAAAGTACTTACAAAACTAAAGTTCTGGTGGTGAAAATTTCAGAACTCTAACAAAACTTTCAAAATTTAATTATTATTTCATTATTGGTGATTTTAATGACAGACCAATTAGGAACTGCCATTTATTATGAAATTTTGAGAGTTTTGTTAGAGTTCTGAAATTTTCACCACCAGAACTTTAGTTTTGTAAGTACTTTAGAACCATTTAGAACCATGGATTGCCCAAGCCTACTAATTATTACATGTAATATTACTAATAATATTACAATATAATGGTATAGTGCAATATAGTAATATATAATACTGATATTGTACTGTGCTAATAATATAATATATTGTATGAAAATATATATTGTAAGCCTCTCTGAGTCCCCTTCGGGGTGAGAAGAGCAGCACATAAATGCCGTAAATAATAAATAAATAAATAATACTAATAATATATTATAATAATATATTTTATATTACATGAAATATTAATAATAATTTTACAATATAATGGTAATAATAATAATAATCTTTATTTATACCCCGCCACCATCTCCCCCGATGGGGACTCGGGGCGGCTTACGTGAGGCCAAGCCCGAACAACAAAATACAATAAAATAAGATGCAAATTGCAATAAAATAAACAACATGGCATTAAAATATAAAACATATAAGCATATAAACAATATACACAAAACATAAAGATAAGAAATAAAAACTGTAAACCAAACATAATGACAGTGAGCGGGCCGCATGGTATACTACAATATAGTAATATATAATACTGATATGGTACTATGTTAATAATATGATATATTATATGTGTATATATATCTTGTAAGCCGCTCTGAGAAGGGCAGCATATCAATGTTGCCAAAAAAAAAAATTAAATTAATTAAATAAATGAAATAAATGAGTTGAGGCATTAGTAGGTTAAATTAATTTTGAATATTTACATAAACCTGTAATTCAAAATAAGACTCTGATTAAACCATTATTCTAACATTCTTCAATGTAAATGTGCTTACGTATCATAACAATAACAATAGGGTAAAAGAAAAAAATGTAATAATGATAATAGAGTAAAATAATGGAAATGTAATAATAGTAATAAAGTAAAATAATAAATGTAATAATAATAGAGTAAAATAATGGAAACGCAATAACAGTAATAAATAGAGTAAAATAAGAAACGTAATAATAATAATTAAATATATGAAATTAAAAGCAGAATTAAATATATGAAATTAAATAAATAAATGAAATTACATGAGTTGAAGCATCTGTAGGTTAAATGAATTTTGAATATTTACATAAATCTGTAATTTAAAATAAGACTGATTGAACCTTTATTCTAACCTTCTTCAATGTATATGTACTTACCTATCATTCCAATAACAATAGAGTAAAATAATAAATGTAATAATAATAATAGTAAAATAATGGAAATGTAATAATAACTAATAAATAGAGTAAAAGAATAAATGTAATAATAATAGAGTAAAATAATTGAACTTTAATAATAACAGTAATAGAGTAAAAGAATAAATATAATTATAATAATACTAGAGTAAAAGAATGGAAATGCAATAATAAAAGTAATAAATAGAGTAAAATAATATAAAAAATAATAGAGTAAAATAATGGAAATGTAGTAACAGTAATAAATAGAGTAAAAGAATAAATGTAATAATAATAATAGAGTAAAATAATGGCAATGTAATAATAACAGTAATAGAGTAAAATAATAAATATAAAAATAATAATAGAGCAAAACAATAAATGTAATAAAAATAAAATAATGTAATTAAATGTAATTAAAATAAATAGCCTTGACTCAAGTACAAGCCAAGGGGGTCTTTTTAAGGCTAATAAAGGGGCTGAAAAACTCAGCTTATACTCGAGTATATATGGCAAGCTGTGAACAAAAAAAGCGGGGTATAAATAAACTTTAATAATAAGAAGAAGAAGAGTTGCAACCTGTTCATGTGGGGAGGAGGACGACTAAAAGGATCAAAGGTCTAGAGACCCTGAATAATCCCCCTGAGGAGCAGCTTAAAGAGCTGTATTTGTTTACCCCAGAAGAGAAGATTAAGAGGAGACATCAGAGGAGCCATGCTTAAATATTTGAAAGGAAGAGGGGATAAGCTTCCTTTCTATTCTGGACACTAGGACTCAAAGGAGCTATTGGTCCAAATGAAAATATATAGTAGTATATTGCATTACATTATAATATTATAAATATTATATGTATATATACAATATATTCTATTGAATTACATTATATTATATATATATTTACCGGTGGCGCAGTGGGTTAAACCCCTGTGCCGGCAGGACTGAAGACCGACAGGTTGCAGGTTCGAATCCGGGGAGAGGCGGATGAGCTCCCTCTATCAGCTCCAGCTCCTCATGCGGGGACATGAGAGAAGCCTCCCACAAGGATGATAAAACATCAAATCATCCGGGCATCCCCTGGGCAACGTCCTTGCAGACAGCCAATTCTCTCACACCAGAAGCGACTTGCAGTTTCTCAAGTCGCTCCTGACACGACAAAATTTTTTTATGTGAGTTGATGCAACAGGTCACATGATTGTAAATATCTTGTAGCCATGTCTTTGCCTCATGCCTGATATCCATGCCTTCCTGTTCATGCTGAAATTATTTATTTATTTTACTTTGCTTATATACCGCTGTATCTCAAGCCCGAAGGCGACTCACAGCGGTTCACAAACAGTAAGAAACAGTAGAAACAGCAGTGGTTCCATACAACATATAACAATTGACTTAACACATTATCCATAAATTACCAATAAGCAATTACAATGCACAATTATTACAAAAAACAACCGTACCCAATCTTCTCATCATCCAAGCGTAGTCCAGGTTCGTCGTCCATTGTTCCATTCCTATGTTCCAATATATGGTACATTGAAAGCATTTCAAAACCATTTGGGGTCGCTCGCCTGTGCATGCGTGTTCCAAGCAAAGGAGCCATTTTGTTTTCCCTCCCAAAAACCCAAAATACCAGTACCGGATTCCCCCTATGCAGCCCCACCATAATGTGACCCTGTTTGCGGGTCTCACAGTTTTGTGGGGAGGGGCCTTGTTGTTGCCGCTGCGTTTGCCGCCTCGTGGCGCTGCCTCTGACCCCAGGGCGCTTCCCTCCCCGGCAGATGCACCAGCAGGGCATCCTCAAGACGGACGACCTGATCACCCGCTTCTTCCGGCTCTGCACCGAGATGTGCGTGGAGATCAGCTACCGGGCGCAGGCCGAGCAGCAGCACAACCCGGCCGCCAACCCCACCATGATCCGGGCCAAGTGCTACCACAACCTGGATGCCTTTGTGCGCCTCATTGCGCTGCTGGTCAAGCACTCCGGAGAGGCCACCAACACCGTCACCAAGATCAACCTCCTCAACAAGGTCAGTGCGGGATGGGAATGAAGATTTTATCACTTACTTTTGAGCTGCAGTTAACTCTGTGTATCTTGTTATGAGCGTTTTGATAGCTCCCAATGTAGCAACCCATTCTTTGCTCCCTTGCAGGTGCTTGGGATCGTGGTGGGGGTCCTCCTGCAGGACCACGACGTGCGGCAGAGCGAGTTCCAGCAGCTCCCTTACCACCGCATCTTCATCATGCTGCTCTTGGAATTGAACGCCCCCGAACACGTCCTGGAGACCATCAACTTCCAAACACTCACAGCCTTTTGGTGAGCACTACTTTAGTTCTCTGCTATGCAGAATGAGATTTTTATTTCTTCTAATATTGCTATGCCCTATTTATTCAAATCCAATGCTCACCGGGTTGCTGTGAATTTTCTGGGCTTCCTGGCCATGTTCCAGAAGCATTCTCTCCTGACGTTTCGCCCGCATTTATGGCAGGCACCCTCAGAGGTTGTGAGGTCTGTTGGAAATTAGGCAAGTGGGGTTTCTATATGTGTGGAATGTCCGGGAGGGAGAAAAAAGTCTTGATTCCTGGAGGCAAGGGTGAACGTTGCCATTGGCCAACTTGATTAACATTGAATTGTCTTGTAGCTTCAAAACCTGGCTGGTTGCTGCCTGGGGAATTCTTTGTTTGGAAATGTTAGCTGGTCCTGTTGATTCTTGTCTGGAATTCCCCTATTTTCAGAGTGTTGCTCTTTATTTACTGTTTAGAGTTTTTTTTTTTTTAATACTGGGAGCAAGATTGTGGAACTCATTACCTGGAGAGATCAGGAAAAGCCCCTTCACTAGAAACGTTCAAAAAGGACCTTAAAACCTGGCTCTTCCGCTGTGCCTTTGGCGAGTAGGTGCACAACATGACACTATGGCTCCCCTCAACGCTTCTGCCACTGGAGTACACACCCTCCAAATGGGAAGTTTAGTTGCACAATCCTGTGTGTTTTCATGAGCTCCCTGCAAATAACCGGCTCCTATTTTTATCTCATTAGAGTTTTTAATCATTTTATCCTGTTATCTTGATTGTGTTTATTGGAATGTTATTTTGTTACTGTGTTTATACTTTTTTTTCTATGTAATTTTGATGATGTTTCTTGTTGTTTATGTTCTTGTTTTATTTTGCTGTAACATGTTGTCCGGGCTTGGCCCCTGTAAGCCGCTCTGAGTCTCCATTGGGGAGATGGTGGTGGGGTATAAATAAAGATGATGATGATGTTTATGATGATGATGATGATTATTATTATAAATGCTTTCAGTCAGCACAGACAAACAAACCAAGCTCTCAGGCGCTTTGCCAGATTGCGAGAGAGATTGATAACAGAGTCAAGGCTGAAAAGAAATCCATTCCTGGCTGCTTGGGATATAGAGTAGATTAGGGGATAAAAGTGCCAAGTATCGAATCTATAAATAAAGATTATTATTATTATTATTATTGTGTTCATTTTCATGGTTTCCTCCTTTCTGTTGAAATTGTCCATGTGATTCGTTCCTGGACAATGCTGCTGTGTTTGGGGATCCCTATGGAGACTTGCCCACAGCTGCGTGGCATACTGGAAACTTGCCTTTTTTGGCAAAATGAGGGTGACCACTAGATTTGCGTAAATAGTGCTGAACCAAAGCAAAGGAGGAAGCTGCTTCAGGAGACCCTGGAGCCCCAAATTGAGAGACACAGTCTCTCATTTAATGACCAGGGCTCAATGTTATGTGGTATTGAGATGTGCAGTTTGGTGAGGCATCAGCATTCTTTGGTAGAGAAGACTCAGTAACTTGTAGGACTACATGACTTTACACCATTAAAACAGGGCAGTTCAAGGATCTGTTGCAACCCAGATCAGGAAACGAGACCATAAGATTAAATCCACCACACTTGACTGTGGGAAAAAATAATCCTTTTTTATTGATGAAAAATGGTTACAAAATAGAGGAAAATGCAAAGTCAAAATGCCATAGTAAAACTCAGCAGTCAGGAATATCTCTGAACTAAATCAAAATTCCAAAAGCAACACTATAAAAACCTGGAACCTGTTAGCATTTCACTAACCGTACTTGGAAACTAGAAGCCTCTGGGAATGCAGGCCATGGGAAACGGGAACTCTGCCAAGGTAATGCCTCAGTCTAAACGATGCTTGATCTAACGAGACAGCCTGGGGGAAAACTAAAGAAACTGTTTCGGGACACGCCTCCAGGCTTAGAAGCCTCCTTTTCCTTTAATCTACTTGACCTTCGCAGACTCTGTGATTCACTCCTGTTTTTCCAAATCTGTCCTTTTCTATCCTCATTAAAAAAGGCAGGTGTTAACTCCTCTGTAGAGTTATCACCGCTTGATTCTGAAACATTCTCATCAGGATGTGTAGTTTCACTTTCCCAGCCACTGCCCTCAGAATCAACAGTTTCCAAACCATCAGGGAAAAATACGTGTTCAGTGGCCTGTTCAGTTGCATCAGGAAATACAATCAAAGAATCAGGTTCAGGTTCACACGGAGGCTGAGGGTCAAGTTCACACGGAGGCTGAACCCCAACAGGATCCCCCGGTGGCGCAGTGGCTTAAACCCTTGTGCCAGCAGGACTGATGACCGAGAAGGTCAGCGGTTCGAATCTGGGGAGAGAGGGTTGAGCTCCCTCTGTCAGCTCCAGCTCCTCATGCGGGGACATGAGTGAAGCCTCCCACAAGTTTCTCAAGTTGCTCCTGACATGAAAAAAAAGGCAGTTGAAGTGGATTCATTCTACATCAGAGATGCACCCCAAGGTTTTCTTTTCCCTTGCTGGAAGCTTTGGTGTACTGTTGTTGTTTAGCTTGTATTGTTGTATTCGGGCTCGGCCTCACGTAAGCCGCACCGAGTCCCTTGGGGAGATGGTAGCGGGGTACAAATAAAGGATTATTATTATTATTATTATCCTCACACTTTTGTTTTTGAAGAAGGAATCCTAAATAATAATAATAATAATAATAATAATTATTATTATTATTATTATTTATACCCCGCCACCATCTCCACAAAGGGGACTCGGGGCAGCTTACATGAGGTCAGGCCCAGTAGTGCAATTAAAATAACATAACAATAACATAACACAAAAGCATAAAACAAACATCACAATGATTAATAATAATAATAATAAACTTTATTTGTACCCCACCACCATCTCCCCAATGGGGACATGGAGCGGCTTACGTGGGGCCAAGCCCGAACAACAATTACAATAAAGAACGACCGAACGCAAACCAAAAACCAACATCATAATTACAACAAACATACGAATATGAATATATAACAATATAAAATTACAATTAACACAATGACAATGGGTGCACCGGGATTGTGGTGCAGCTGGCTGAGGGTCAGCTGCATTAAGGTCACTCTGACCAAAAGGTCATGAGTTCGAAGCCAGCCCGGGTTGGAGTGGGTTTCCAACCAATTGTGTAGCCTGTTGTCGACCTTTGCAACCCAAAAGACAGTTGCATCTGTCATGTAGGAAAATTAGGTACCACCTTAAAAAGTGTGGGGAGGCTAAATTAACTGATTTATGAGGCCATAAAGAAGACTCCAGCAAAGCATTCCAGCGGGGAAGCATGCGGGGAATGTGGAAGTCCTTCATCAGCATCGCAGAAACAGCCTCTGTGTATGTCTGTATATGTTTGTATGTCAAAAATTGGCATTGAATGCGGGGTGAGAAGGGTGGAATATAAAAGCTGTAAATAAATAAATAAAGAACTAATTAAAACTGGTTAAAAAAGTAAAGCATAAAAACACAATAAAAATGCAAAACAATACAGAGAAAAATCAGACACAATCACAGAGAGCAGCCACATGCACAGGTAATGATAAAATTCAGGATGAGATAGAAATAAAAACAAGTATATTTGCAAGTATATATATATTTTGTTTCAGCGCTTTGAAAATTGAGTTGTGTGTTAGATTTGATGGCACGTTAGACGTTAAGAAATACAGTCATTTGAAATATGGCCATGTTAAGCGACCACCTCTCTGTTAATAGAAGATGTTGTTTTTGTTTTGTAATTGCAGCAACACGTTCCACATCCTGCGACCGACCAAAGCTCCCGGTTTTGTTTACGCCTGGCTGGAACTGATCTCCCACCGGATATTCATTGCGCGGATGCTGGCGCACACCCCTCAGCAGAAGGTGGGACTGCGGTCGGTCTTCTGTCCCTTTAAGAAGGGAATAAGGGAATAATAATAATAATAATAATAATAATAATGAGGAGGAGGAGGAGGAGGAGGCCTCTTGGGTGGCAGGGCTTTGTGCAAATGGCTTTCTGGCTTGCAATGTTCTTTACATTGATCCCTCTCTCAAGTAACAGAACCAAAAGGGTCTGGGCCAACTTCGGCCCTTCCTCCGGGTGATTTGGACTTCAACTCCCACAATTCCTAACAACCTCTGGCCCCTTTCTTTTCCTTAAGCGGCTGAGGAGGGAAAGGAAGGGGGCTGAGGCTGTTAGGAATTGTGGGAGTTGAAGTCCAGAACGCCTGGAGGGCTGGTTTGCCTGTAGTCTTTGTCATCTTGGAACTGGACACTTCATTTAAGCAAGGGATCATCCTCCCAGGCCTGGTGTAGCACCAGAGTGAGAGAAAGAGCAAAAACACAGACCAATGTTGTCTCTTCCATAAGAGGCTTGTCTTTGTAGTAAAATTTATAGGTTGCTGACCTGTAACCGTAGTTCCCTGAGTGGTCACCTGTGAATTTGCACATATGGTTATTCCTGCGTCTGCGCAGACCAGCTTCGGAACCTTCTGGAAAGACAAAACAGACATTCCCTTGCCCCGCTCACTCCCCTTCGAGTATATATAGCCCATGGGTGGGGTTAGGCCCTCAGTTCTCTTGATCCGCCGCTTTAGCAGCAGCTTGAGAACCTTCAGCTTGTGAGCTTCTGTTTTGGACTGCTCTTTGGACTACGATATTTCTGGTATTGATTTGGACTGGCTTACGATTTTGAGGTACTCTCTGACGTTGACTCCGGACTGTTTTCTTGGACTGGATTGTGTTTTGTTTCTGGGCATGGCGACCACTTCTTTTAAGCAATGTGCCAACTGCCCCAATACTTTGCCTGACACCTAACGTGCCTGGGTGAGGGACATCTCTCGCAGTCATGTTCTGTCTGTCAGGCTTTTACGCCGCAGACGAGGAAGAACAGAGAATCCAGGCTTAAGGCAGCCCTATATCAAAGGGCCCTTTTGTCTTTAGCTGCCCCCAAGCAGGTGACTCCTGCTGATCTTTCAAACTTACCGTTAGCACAGGCTAAACAACATGGCGGTCCTGTAAACAAAAAGGTGAAGAAAGTAGGCCTGTTTGATCAAGAAAAAATTTGTTTCTAAAATCGATTTGTAATTGGGGTGTTTTTTTGTTTCGATATTTAAAATAATTACAAAACTTTCCCCCAAAAAAGTTTTGGTATTTACGAAATTTTGTAAATATTAACGAATTTTTAGAATATTTTTTGTATTTTTTAAGAATAATATTAAAATAATATTAAAAAATATTTTAAAATGGAAAATTAACCAAAAAATGGCCCAAATGTGGACCAAACACAGGCAGGAGACAGCAAATGAGAGCACACACCAACAGAAGAGTCTTTTCTTTTTTAGAATATTTTTAAGAATAATATTAAAATAATATTAAAAAATAATATTAAAATAATATTAAAAAATATTTTAAAATGGAAAATTAACCAAAAAATGGCCCAAATGTGGACCAAACACAGGCAGGAGACAGCAAATGAGAGCACACACCAACAGAAGAGTCTTTTCTTTTTTAGAATATTTTTTAAGAATAATATTAAAATAATATTAAAAAATAATATTAAAAATAATATTAAAAATAATATTAAAAAATATTTTAAAATGGAAAATTAACCAAAAAATGGCCCAAATGTGGACCAAACACAGGCAGGAGACAGCAAATGAAGCAAGCAGCACTCACAGCAGCAAGGAATGAATCCAATCCCAGTTGCTAGCAGCCAAGCCAACCCAATGCAAACTCCCTCGCCCTCTGCAGCAAGCTACGGCCGCGCGGAGCCGCTTTGAAAGGGCTCGCCGGCCAATCAAAAACAAACAGCCACGGACCCACAGTGCACTGCTTGGGAGCGCCGGATTGGCTCCCACTGGCACCAGCACTCCAGCAGCCTCCACCCCATTAACGAAACGAGCGGAAGCTCGTTAAATCTATGGGGGTTGCTGGTTCGATATTTTAAAACCCTTCCGGGTTTGGAAATGTGTTTTGATATCGCTTCGGAAATGCCAAAAATAACGAATTAATAACGAATTAACGAACGAAACCGCACAGGCCTAGAAGAAAGTGAAGGATAAGGGCCGCTAAAATGGCCACCAGGCTCTTCCCCAGGCTCGTAGCCCTGTAAAAAGGGCGGGAAACGCTTCTGTTGTTCTTTCCCTAGCTCCCTTTGAGACAGCAGGGAGAGAACGCTCTCCCGCTGTTGGTGCCTGAACTGTTACTGCAGGGAGCCAACACACCGTTCCTACAATCTGCGCATGTGCGCGCTGGAGACGCGGCACAGGACGGCTCAGCGACACAGGCGATGCCGGTCCTCACCCCACTGGGCAATAATGCCCATGCGGGCAGGAGCCGCGGGGGCTGTGCCACAGGGAGCACTCCCCGCATCGGGGCAAAGGCAGCCCCGCGGCCCTCTGGCGGGGCACCTATGGAGACTGACAAGAGTGCACCTCCTTCTACTGGAGTCGGAGCGCTCCCCATAGCTGGAGACGTCACGACCCCGCATGTCGGGGAGGGCGCGCACCAAGGTTTCCATGACACAAATAAAGTTCAGCCTTCACACCGGAGCTTCACACACGAGGCCTTCTCATACTGAGGCTTATCTCACTCAGAGGCTTCTCTCACAGATTAAGGCCTATCTCAACGCCAAGTTTTCCATGACACAAATAAAGTTCAGCCTTCACACTGGAGTTTCGCACACGAGGCCTTCTCATACCGAGGCTTACCTCACTCAGAGGCTTCTCTCACAGACTAAGGCCTATCTAAGCGCCAAGGTTTCCATGACACAAATAAAGTTCAGCCTTCACACTGGAGCTTCACACACGAGACCTTCGCATACCAAGGCTTACCTCACTCAGAGGCTTCTCTCACAGACTAAGGCCTATCTCAGCGCCAAGGTTTCCATGACACAAATAAAGTTCAGCCTTCACACTGGAGTTTCGCACACGAGGCCTTCTCATACCAAGGCTTACCTCACTCAGAGGCTTCTCTCACAGACTAAGGCCTATCTAAGCGCCAAGGTTTCCATGACACAAATAAAGTTCAGCCTTCACACTGGAGCTTCACACACGAGACCTTCGCATACCAAGGCTTACCTCACTCAGAGGCTTCTCTCACAGACTAAGGCCTATCTCAGCGCCAAGGTTTCCATGACACAAATAAAGTTCAGCCTTCACACTGGAGCTTCACACACGAGACCTTCGCATACCAAGGCTTACCTCACTCAGAGGCTTCTCTCACAGACTAAGGCTTATCTCACACTCTGACGCCTTCTCACAGACTGGGCGTTGTTTTATCATGGCAAATGTTTTATTATGCTTTCTATCTGATTTTTAACTTACTGTTTTATATGATGTTTTAAAGGTTTGTTTGTGAGCATTGGATCCTTGTTTTGAGCTGAATCCCTCTACGGAGGTAGAGAAGATCAGGATACAAAAGTTGTTGTTTTTTTAATAATTTTTTATTAAACATTTTAAACACCAACACAAGGAAAGAGGGAGAACATTCAAAAAGAGGATAGAAAAGTAGGAAACCCGATCACCATAGAAAAAAGCCATAATAAAAATAGAGAGGGCAAAGGGAGAGAAAAAAAGAAAAAAAATTCTAGAAAAAATACAAAATATGAAAAGTATAGAAAACACAAAAAAAATACAAAAAACAAAATCTATACTAAAATGACTTCCACTCCAGCCTCAGGATCTTCATTAAGTACTTCTTTATCTGATTTATGTTTTCTTAGTCTCTGCTATTCTTCTATTTTTTTCGTAATCATAAAAAAGGGTCCAATCTGTCCTTTTTACCGATTTTCCGGTATTTTTCCTCATCAAAAAAGTTAGTTCATCCATGTCTCTTATTTCTTTAACCTTATCTATCCAGTCATCAATAATGGGAGTCTGTTCTTTTTTCCAATGTCTTGCAAAGCTAATTCTAGCTACTGTTGTAAAGTATGTTAACCATTTATCTTCATTTTCATCAAGTTGTAATTCCAGGTCTGTGAAGCCTAATAGATAGTATTCTGGTTTCTTCTTCAACTTCCTTTTCAAAATTTTTTGTGTTTCCTCATGTAGTAATGACCAATATTTAGATGTTTCTTTACATGTCCACCACATATGGTAGAATGTACCTATTTGATCACTACACTTCCAGCATTTATCAGATGTATTCTTAGACATATGGCTTAATTTTTGGGGAGTAATGTGCCATCTGTGGAACATTTTAATCCAATTTCCCTTGAAATCCATTGCATAAGTATATTTCAACTTTTTGTTCCACATTGGTTCCCATTCTCTAAATTGGATAGGCCTTCTTAAATTCTCTGCCCATTTGATCATGCATGATTTGACCTGTTCCGTTTCCGTTAACAATGATAACAATTTATTACACAAATAGATAAATAAATAAGGGGAACTGACACTGAGGCAAACTAAGCTACGGGCGCCGCTTTGCTCCGCTCTCACTCTGGCCTTTCTCTCTCCTCGCAGGGCTGGCCTATGTACGCTCAGCTGCTCATCGACCTCTTTAAGTACCTGGCTCCTTTCCTGAGGAACGTAGAACTCGCCAAACCTATGCAAATCCTGTACAAGGTGAGTGTGGGGCTGTTTTCCGGGTGGGCATTTTTTTTATTCGAAGGAGAGGGAATTCTGGGACAGAAGGGAACTTGATTCCCAGCTCACTCTTGCCTCAAAAACACCATTGATTTTTGAGGCGGCTGACAGCTCTCCTTCGGAAGTATTTCCAAGGACCGCACTAGGCCTGTCTTGACTCTCCCAACTCTTGCAGTCCTCAGTGCTCTATGTCCCATTAAGTAAAACCTTTTGTGCAGACTGCAAATTTTTGTAGTTTAAGAAATTTTTCCCATGTTTTTATGATAGAACCAATTAGGAAATGACATTTAGAACCCAGGAACATTGTGTAATAATGTAGAAGTTATTTCCAATGCTGAGTGTGACAAAGTTGTTGAATTTGTTTCTGAGCATGGGTTGGAAGTGTGATATGGACAAGCCTCAGCCTTGTGTGTGTGTGTGTGTGTGTCTTGTAGGGCACGCTCCGGGTGTTGCTTGTGCTGCTCCACGACTTCCCGGAATTCCTGTGCGACTACCATTACGGCTTCTGCGACGTGATCCCTCCCAACTGCATCCAGCTGAGGAACCTGATCCTGAGTGCCTTCCCGCGGAACATGAGGCTCCCAGACCCCTTCACTCCCAACCTGAAGGTCAGCAGGATGCGTGTCAGCGTGCGGGATTCTTCCACACGTAAATCATAGCCATTTCCAGAGATGCAACCAAGCACACACATCCGCCCATGCAGTGCCTGGGCTAATTTTGCAAATTTGGTTTGTAAACGGCATGCTAAAGCCATAACAGAGAGAAGTCAGGGTGCCTGTTTCCTCCTCTGGGTTGGTGGAAATGCTTCAGATCCTTGCTATTACTTCGAAAAAAGCCTTTAGTAAACTGTTAGTAGCGACAGATGGCCGGAACCCAGATTGCGTGAATGGATGGTTCTCCTTCCTGGTAGAGGCAGTGGTTCTCAACCTTCCTAATGCCGTGACCCCTTAATCCAGTTCCACATTTTTGTGGTGACCCCCAACCATAACATTTTTGTTGTTACTTCATACCTGTCCCCTTATTAATCCAGTTACTCATGTGGTGATGACCCCCAACCATAACATTACTTTCGATGCCACTTTATAACTATAATTTTGCTCCTGTTATGAATCGTCATGTAAATATCTGATATGCAGGATGTATTTCCATTCACTGGACCAAATTTGGCACAAATACCCCATACGGCCAAATTTGAATACTGCTGGGGTTGGGGGGGGGGGGGATTGATTTTATCATTTGGGAGTTGTAGTTGCTGGAATGTATAGAACATTCTGACCTCCACCAACGATGGAATTGAACCAAACTTGGCACACAGGACTCCCATGATCAAGAGAAAATAATACAGGTGGAGTTCAGGGTAGATTGATTTTGTCATTTGGGAGTTCTAGTTGCAGGGATGTATAGTTCACCCCTGGATGGCCATTTGTCAGGGGTGATTTGAATGCAATATTCCTGCTTCTTGGCAGGTGGTTGGACTGGATGGCCCAGGAGGTCTCTTCCAACTCTTTGATTCTATGATTCTATGAAACAAAGAGCATTCTGAACTCCACCAGTGATGGAATTGAACCAAACTTGGCACACAGGACTCCCATGATTGAGAGAAAATAATGGAAGGGTTTAGTGGGCATTGACCTTGAGTTTGGGAGTTGTAGTTCACCTACATCTCGAGAGCACTGTGGGCTCAAACAATGATGGATCTGGACCAAACTTGGTACAAGCACTCAATATGCCCAAATATGAGCACAGATGGGAGTTTTGGGGAAATAGACCTTGACTTTTGCGAGTTGTAGTTACTGAGATTTACAATTCACCTTGAGTTTGGGAGTTGTAGTTCACCTACATCCCGAGAGCACTGTGGGCTCAAACAATGATGGATCTGGACCAAACTTGGCACAAATACTCGATAGGCTGTAATGTGAGCACTGGTGGAGTTTGGGGGAAATGGACCCTCACATTTGGGAGATGCAGTTGCTGGGATTTATAGTTCACCTATAATCAAAGAGCATTCTAAACCCCACCGACGACAGAATTGGATCAAACTTCCCACACAAACCCCCCATGACCAACAAAAAATACTATTTTCTGATGGTCTTTAGCGACCCCTCTGACACCCCCTAGTTGTCCCGACCCCCAGGTTGAGAAACACTGTGGTAGGGGATAGCTGCAGGAATGGTGATGGCAACACATTGAATCTGGCCAGGGGCTCCCACATTTGCTAAGTGACTCTGGAGTGACCAATATCATACTGTTTTTTAGTTTCTGGTGGGAGAAGCCCACCTTGTGTGGATCCGTCTCCTCAATGTATGTTTCCCTGTGAGAGTCGCATGTGGTGTTTTGGGTCCTTTCCATCCGCAAAGAACATGCTCCGAACAGCATTGGGACACTTCTCTCTCTCTCTCTTCTCGGCAGGTGGACATGTTGAGCGAGATCAACATTGCCCCCCGCATCCTCACCAACTTCACGGGCGTGATGCCCCCACAGTTCAAGAAGGACCTGGACTCCTATCTCAAGACCCGCTCCCCGGTCACCTTCCTCTCCGACCTGCGCAGCAACCTGCAGGTGAGGGCCGCTGTCCGGGGGTCAGGGGTCAAGGAGGGGCTTTGAGTGAGGTGCGCCTGGGTCAGTTTTGGGACCCCTCCTTGTTGACGTTCCCCGCTTCCTTTCAGGTGTCCAATGAGCCCGGCAACCGCTACAACATCCAGCTGATCAACGCGCTGGTGCTGTACGTGGGCACGCAGGCCATTGCCCACATCCACAACAAGGGCAGCACCCCCTCCATGAGCACCATCACCCACTCGGCCCACATGGACATCTTCCAGAACCTGGCGGTGGATCTGGACACGGAAGGTCCCACCCAATTATTTCACCTTTAGATACACTATTTAATCTCATGTTTCCCTTTCTTTGGCTAAATTACCTCACCACAATTAGGGTGTGCATTAAATTCACATCATCCAGTCATCCTAGTGCTGAGCCAAAGCAAGAGGGGAAGCTGCTTCAGAAGTAGTAGGAGCTCCCCTTTGAGAGATGTCAATGTTAGGAGACCCTGGGATTTGTAGTTTGGTTGAGGCATCAACATCCTTGAGCAGAGTAGGCTCAAGGCCTGGAAAAACTACACCCCATGACTCCATAGCATTGATCCAAGGCAGTTAAAGTGGACTCATGCTACAGCTTAGATGCACCCCAGGGCTGCCAAGGAAGCCACTACGCATTGTCTCGTTTTGGATAGCATGCAAGGCGCTGTTTGTGACCACATTTCTGTGTATAAACCCACACAGGATCTCTTCGATCATCTGGAGAGGCCCTGCTCGTGCTCCCACCTCCTTCGCAGGCACGATTGGTGGGGATGAGGGAGAGGGCCTTCTCAGTGGTAGCCCCCTGACTTTGGAACGCAGGCACAGTCCCCGCCAGGGGCATTTATAGTATTGGGGAGAGTGGGCGGGGCATCTGCTAAACTGTTTCTTTTACAAGATTCTAGAAAGTTCCGAACAGCTGCGCATGCGCAGAACAAAAACCCATATGTTAATAACTGGCTTCTGTTCATTTTCCAGTCCCAATTCAAGGTGCAGGTTCTGACCTACCTGCGTGACCGCATTTCTGTGTACAAACCCACATGATCTCTTCAATCATATGGAGAGGCCCTGCTCACGCTCCCACTTCCTTCACAGGCGCAATCAGTGGGGATGAGGGAGAGGGCCTTCTCGGTGGTGGCCCCTCGACTCTGGAACTCACTCCCCAGGGACATTAGACATGCCCCAACATTGGCAGTCTTTAGGAGGAGACTGAAAACGGTAGTTGTTCCAGCGTGCCTTCCCAGAATAAGGAGAACTCTCAGCAATATGTTCTCACGATGCACTTTAATACTGACTTAGGATGTATTGCGTTCCTTCAATTCTCTCCGAACAATCTTATCTTAGTTATATTTTACCTCATTCACATCAGCATTATTTTCAATTTTAATCTATTACATTTGGCCCGGCCATTTTTAAAATTGTTTACGTCACAATTGATTGTTTTTTGTTGACGTGATTTGTATAATTTGTATTTTATTGATTGTTTATTGATGTTGTGATTCTTGATGTTTTGTTTGATGTACTTTGGGCTTGGCCTCATGTAAGCCGCACCGAATCCCTTGGGGAGATGGTTGTAGGGTACAAAAAAAGATTATTATTACTATTATTATCATTATTATTGGCCTCATGTAAGCCGCACTGAGTCCCTTGGGGAGATGATCACAGGGTACAAAAAAGATTATATTATTATTATTATTATTATTATTATTATTATTATTGGCCTCATGTAAGCCGCACCGAGTCCCTTGAGGAGATGGTAGCAGGGTACAAATAAAGATTATTATTATTAAACGTAATGCCAATGTGTGACAGAACCACAAGCCACGAGGAGGTGCTTCCTGTCACGCTTCAGGCCACTCCTTGCAATGCTTATCTCCTTCCATCCTGCAGGCCGGTACCTCTTCCTGAACGCCATTGCCAACCAGCTCCGGTACCCCAACAGCCACACGCACTACTTCAGCTGCACCATGCTCTACCTGTTTGCGGAGGCCAACACGGAAGCCATTCAGGAGCAGATCACCAGGTAAGGTGGACGACCTGCTCAGTCTATCTAGAGATGTGGCCGGTCTGGAGTGGTTTTCCCCACAAGGCAGGCCTGGGCTAACTTCCACCCTCCCCCCAGGTGTTTTGGACTTCAACTTGCACCATTCCTAACAGACTTAGGAATGGTGGGAGTTGAAGTCCAAAACATCCAGAGGGCAGAAGTTGGCCCATGCCTGAGCTATACGCAAGGGACATTGGAAAGGCTCCTGTTGCTTACTCAGAGATAGAGTGCTTCTTATTTATTATTACTATTTATTTACAGTATGTCTATTCGGCCCTTCTCACCCTGCAGGGACTCAGGGCGGATTACAATATACACATATATGGCGTAGATATAGATATTCAGTGCCAAAGACACACAGCAGATATAGACAGACAGTCAGAGGCTATTCCGTTTTTCTGTCCGCCAGGGGAGCTGTCACTTTCATCATCCATCTGTGACTTCCACATTCCCCGCATGCTTTGCTGGAGTCTTTTTTATGGCCTCGTAAATTAGTTAAACTAGCCTCCCCACACATAGGTGGTACCTAATTTTCCTACTTGACAGGTTGCAAAGGTTCACAACAAGCTACACAATTGGTTGGAAGCTCACTCTGTCTTGGGCTGGCTTCGAACTCATGACCTTTTGGTCAGAAGTGATCTTAATGCAGCTGACACTCAGCTGCGCCACAATCCCGGTGCTTCTCTTTAAATGGGGTTCTGACCCCGAATGGGGTGTCCCTCTTCTCAGTCTTGGGGTCGCAGAAAATTTGACAACAGGAGTGACACTCTTTGAGACATCGACACAAACCTTTTGTGCCATATTTATTTATTTACTATGTTTGTATACCGCCCCTCTCAGCCTTCCAGCGACTCGAGGTGGTTTACAAGGCAAAATTCAACGCCACCAAGAACACAATTACAATATAAAAACGTTAACATCAATAAACATCATAACACTGTAATAAAACATAATTCAATAAATACTCATGAAAACAATGTCCAGTCTCATCACGTAGTTGATTCCGTTCTTATGTCCGTTACTCAGTATTTACAAATGCCTGCTCCAATGGACCAGCCATGTGTTGCAACTCAAGAGTAGTTTCCACCTTGCTCAAGACACCAACTCACACCAAGGCTGTAGGTTTTGTAGTTTATGGAGTAAAAGCAAAATCAAAACCGAGAAATAGGAATGCAATGTCCCCAAGATTCAAAAGGAAAACCATGAAGCATAATCCCTAAGCAATGGTCAAACAAGAGTCCATAGTAAACAGGTACAAACAGGAACAGGATCCAAGTCTCAAGAAGCCAGAGACGTGCTTCCAAAAGCCAAGGTAAATCCACAGAAGTTAACATGGGAAGATTAACGTTGGACTGACAGGGATTGCCTGTCGGCTGCAACATTAAATTGTTTTCCCAAACATGAAAGCATTGCGTTGACCTTTGGCTTCACGCCTGCTGGTCAGACGTGAACTTCTACAGACTCTTAATTGCAAACGAGTCATTAATTCAGTCTTATCATCAAGGCTAAGCAACTCATTATCTCCGGCCAGCTGGGCCTCATCAGTCTGGGAACTGAAAGGATCCACCTGAAGTTGTGGAGTTGTTTCACTATCTTTATCTAAAGGCACATTCCGTTCCCCGAGGAACAGGCTTGCTGTTTCTCCGTCAGAAGCCTCACTCTCAGCCCTGTCTGTAACATGTACAGAAATCTGTAACCCATCAGCCTCCTCGTCATCCTGCAAAAAGACAGGCTCAGAAGACCCAGCAGGCCCAGAAAGTTCAGACTCAGACTGAGTCACAACATTAAGTTTCTTCCAAAATGCTAGAAGTGAAGAAGCCAATCTGATCTCCCTAGGAAGGGCGTTCCATGGCCGAGGGGCCACCACTGAGAAGGCCCTGTCTCTTGTCCCCACCAGCCGTGCTTGTGATGATGGCGGGACCGAGAGCAGGGCCTCTCCAGACGATCTTAAAGTCCTTGAAGGTTCATATTTCCAGCAGAATCTGCATTCTGAACCCCACCAACAATAGAATTGGGCCAAACTTCCCACACAGAACCCCACATGACCAACTCCCACCATTCCTAACAAGACTTAGGATCCAACGTTCCTCACACTTGGGCTCAACACTTCGAGTTTGGGAAATTTTTTCCCTATTTCTGCGTTCCTCTTTCCCAGGGTCCTCTTGGAGCGGCTGATTGTGAACAGGCCTCACCCGTGGGGACTCCTCATCACCTTCATCGAGCTGATTAAAAACCCGGCCTTCAAGTTCTGGAACCACGAGTTTGTCCACTGCGCGCCAGAGATTGAAAAGTGAGTTTGTCGAGATATTTTTTGGGATATTGGTGCTGTGCAAATGGAGAAATCTGAGGAATGGCTGCAAGCGCGGGCCAGCCTTGGCCCTCCCTCCAGGTGTTCTGGACTCCAACTCCCATAATTTCTAACAGCCTTATTATATTTATTATTTTCGCTATTTATTATTACATCTATTATTTTACTGTATATACTTGAGTATAAGCCGAGTTTTTCATCCCTTTTCTTATTGCATTTATTATCTTAGAAAAATTATTGCATTAATTATTTTCATCTATTTTAGTTATTACATGTATTATTTATTGTTATTATTACATTTACTATTATTACATTTACTATTTATATTATTACATTTACTATTTTTTACAAATTTATTATTTTACTCTTATATTTTATTTTCGCTATTTATTATGACATCTATTATTTTACTCTATTATTACATCTATTATTTTACTCTTACTGAGAAGTTAATATTGCATTTATTATTTTTATCTATTTTTCGCTATTTGTTATTCAATTTATTATTTTACTCTATTATTATTTTTATTAAATTTACATTATTTTACTCTTATTATTGCATTTATTATTTTTATATATTTTAGAGAAATTATTATTGCGTTTATTAGTTATTACATGTATTATTTTATTCTATTGTTATTACATTTACTATTTTTCGCTATTTGTTATTAAATTTATTATGTTACTCTTACTATAGTTATTATTTTCTTTAGTTATTATGACATCTATTATTTTACTCTATTATTGCATTTATTTATTTTAGAGAAGTCATTATTGCATTTATTATTTTTATCTATTTTAGTTATTACATGTATTATTTTATTCTATTATTACATTTACTATTTTTCGCTATTTGTTATTAAATTTATTATTTTACTTATTATATTTATTATTTTTGCTATTATGACATCTATTATTACATCTATTATTTTACTCTATTATTATTGCATTTATTATTTATTTTAGAGAAGTTGTTATAGCATTTATTATTTTTCTCTTTTAGTTATTACATGTATTATTTCATTCTATTACTACATTTACTATATTTCCCTATTCGCTATAAAATTTATTATTATTGCATTTATTATTTTTATCTATTTTAGTTATTACATGTATTATTTTATTCTATTACTACATTTACTATTTTTTGCTATTTGTTATTAAATTTATTATGTTACTCTTATTATATTTATTACATTCTCTATTATGACATCTATTATTTTACTCTTATTATTATTATTATTACATCTATTATTTTACTCTTATTACTGTTACTATATTACATTTCTATTCTTWTCCTCATTTTTTATTATTAAACGGCTGAGGGGGAAAAGGAAGGGGCCTGAGGCTGTTAGGAATGATGGGAGTTGGAGTCCTAAACACTTGGAGGGCTCATGCTTGCCTGGTATCTGTATCATCCGTTTAATTCGTGTTTCCATTTCGTTCCATCCATTCGGATGGCACAATWCAAAAGACCCTTTCCCAGAACGAAAATAAACTCGATACGAAAGGCAGGCAGGAGCGGGTACCGCAATAGTCATGGGCCTGGTATCTGTATCATCCCTTTAATTCGTGTTTCTATTTCGTTTTGTCCATTCGGATGGCACAATACAAAAGACCCTCTCCCAGAATGAAAATAAACTTGATAACGAAAGGCAGGCAGGAGCGGGTACCGCAATAGTCATGGGCCTGGTATCTGTATCATCCGTTTAATTTGTGTTTCCATTTCGTTCCATCCATTCGGATGGCACAATTCAAAAGACCCTTTCCCAAAACGAAAATAAACTCGATACGAAAGGCAGGCAGGAGCGGGTACTGCAATAGTCATGGGCCTGGTATCTGTATCATCCCTTTAATTTGTGTTTCCATTTCGTTCCATCCATTCGGATGGCACAATACAAAAGGCCCCCTCCCAGAACGAAAATAAACCTCTCCTGTTCGTTGTGTATTTCCCAGGCTGTTCCAGTCGGTGGCCCAGTGCTGCATGGGGCAGAAGCAGGCGCAGCAAGTCATGGAAGGCACGGGGGCCAGTTAGGGCCCGCCGTCCAACTGGGAAGTCCGCCCGAGGCCTCTATCCATCCACCTCTCCACCCCTTCCTTAAGTCCCTTGCTTCTGGCCAAGAGAAGAGGGAAGGCCTGCGGTGACGAGCCTCCTCCTCCTCCGGCCGTGGTGCCGGGAGGAGCGCACCCTTCTCTTTCTGCGTCGGCAGCCCCGTTTCCAAAGTTCCAATCGACGTTCTGACTCTCTCTCGGCCAAAAAACGCAGAAGATGCTGTGAATATAATGTTTGTAAATACACCAGAGCGGGAGGGCGGGGCGGGATTGGTCAGTCTGGACTTTTGGGGTTTGTGCAAATGGGGGGGGAAGCGCGAGGGAGGAAGCGAGGCCAAGTGCGGGTCGTCCCACCCCAGGCTCCCAAAGAGTGCGGAAAAGCCAGTTTAAATATTATGTAACTTATTTTTTTTTCTTGCGGGTGGGGCGACGGGGGCGGCTCTCAATCACAAGTTTGTCCGAACGGGGGGAAAGGGAAGGACGGCACTGGGATTGGGGTCTCCTCCTCGTCCGTCTCCTCCTCCTCAAGAGAGAGAGAAGTTGTTTTCTTTGGTGACCCCCCTTGTATATGTACATTTTGGGGCGAGCGGGGAGGGTGTGCAGGTCTAGGAACCGCTCCCCTGTGGCCACAGAGCTTTTGAGTTTGTACAAAAAAAAATACAGAAGAAGAACAAAAAAAAGGACCAATACAGCCCATTTTGTAAGGATTTTGAATGTTTTGTAAATGTATTGGTCCGTGTGTTGTATTTTGTAGCCTTTCTAGTTCTCTCTTGGGCTTTTAGTTTCTCCCACTTCTTGTATGTATGCATTCTGTAGTTAAAAACATTAAAGTCATGACAAGCAGGTTGTGTCCCTGGCTTCTCTTTACAAAAGACGCTTCCCGTAAGAAACAACTCTCTCCTTTTTGTATCTGTATCAGTTTAATTCGTGTTTCCGTTTCGTTCCGTCCAATCAGATGGCACAATACAAAAGACCCTCTCCCAGAACGAAAATAAACTCGATACGAAAGGCAGGCAGGAGCGGATACCGCAATAGTTATGGGCCTGGTATCTGTATCATCCGTTTAATTCATCTTTCTGTTTCCTTCCGTCTATTCGGATGGCACAATACAAAAGACCCTCTCCCAGAATGAAAATAAACACGATATGGAAGGCAGGCAGGAGCGGGTATTGCAATAGTCAGAGGCCTGGTATCTGTATCATCCGTTTAATTCATGTTTCTGTTTCATTCCGTCCATTCGGATGGCACAATACAAAAGACACTAACCCTAACTCGATACGAAAGGCAGGCAGGAGCGGTTACCACAATAGCCATTGGGCCTGGTATCTGTATCATCCGTTTAATTTGTCTTTCCATTTCATTCTGTCCATTCGGATGGCACAATACAAAATAACCTCTCCCAGAACGAAAATAAACTCAATAAGTAAGGCAGGCAGAAGCGGGTATCGCAATAGTCACGGGCCTGGTATCGGTTTAATTCGTCTTTCTGTTTCGTTCCGTCCATTCGGATGGCACAATACAAAAGACCTTCTCCCAGAACGAAAATAAATTCGATACGAAAGGCAGGCAGGAGCGGGTACCGCAATAGTCAGGGGCCTGGTATCTGTATCATCCATTGAATTCGTCTTTCAGTTTCGTTCCGTCCATTCGGATGGCACAATACAAAAGACCCTCTCCCAGAACGAAAATAAACTCAATACGAAAGGCAGGCAGGAGCGGGTACCGCAATAGTCAGGGGCCTGGTATCTGTATCATCCGTTGAATTCGTCTTTCCATTTTGTTCCGTCCATTCGGATGGCACAATACAAAAGACCCTCTCCCAGAATGAAAATAAACACGATACAAAAGGCAGGCAGGAGCGGGTACCGCAATATTCATGGGCCGTCTGCAAGGATGTTGCCCAGGGGACACTCGGATGTTTTTTTTTAATGTTTTTACCATTGTTGTGGGAGGCTTCTCTCATGTCCCCGCATGAGGAGCTGGAGCTGATAGAGGGAGCTCATCCACGCTCTCCCCGGATTTGAACCTGCAACCTGTCGGTCTTCAGTCCTGCCGGCACAGTGCGCCACTGGGGCTCCTATAGTTCAGACTAATAACAGGGTATGTTTTCATTTAATCGGGAGAAGGGCTGCAGTGAGTGGTTGCTCTGGTCCTTTACCCTTTACTACAATCCTCTAAAGCAGTGGTCCTCAACCTGGGGGTCCCCAGATGTTTTTGGCCTCCAACTCCCAGAAATCCAAACAGCTGGTAAACTGGCTAGGATTTCTGGGACTTGTAGGCCAAAAACATATGGGGACCCCAGGTTGAGAACCCCTGCTCTAAAGCAGCGGTTCTCAACCTGGGGGTTGCGACCCCCAGGGGGGTTGCCTGGCCATTTCAGAGGGGTCGTGAGACCGCCTCCGTTTGCCCCACCCCAAGGGCACGGGCCAAGTGTGGGCTCCTTCGCATGAGGCCTGGCTTCGCGCAAAGCCCGCCTCACCTGCCTCGCACTCTCGCCATCTGACAAGGGCGCGGGGCAGGCGAGAGGTCCTCCGCACGAGGCCTGGCCTGTAAATACAATAATGACTGCATAACGTTACTGCTTTTTCTGTCGATTCGTTGTTGTACCTTTTCGCTTACCCAACGTTCCGCCGGCCCGTTTATGTTGGATAAGCCGGACTCTACTGTGTATATCCAACACAAATGTCCGTGTTCCGACTTACATCCAAACGCAACTTAAGAACAAAGCTTCAGAACCCATCTTGTGGGTCACTTGAGAGCATGCCTGGACACTCTTGCTTTCACAAGCATTTTGCGAAATATATTTCACAGAAAATCTGTGTCTGGAGAATTTCCATTGGAAATACCTTAAGGGCGGTAGGAAGGGGGCGCCTGACCCGGAAGCACCCCAAGGCGCACCTGCGGAACAAAGGGGCACACCCACACGGACCGATAGCGGGGGCCGCAGCCGTGGTGTTATTCTGTGTCACGCGCTCAGCAGCTGGAGCAGATGGTGCAGCACTTTCTTCTCTCCGTAGCGCACCTGAAGGGCGTGGCGCTCCCGGGGGCTGAGCCGGGCGTAGGTCTGTCCCTGCTGCAGGGTCTCCTCCTCCGACTTCAGGTCCGAACGGTAGGCTTTCAGGGCCAGGAGGGCCGCGCTGGAGAGGAGCCGCTTCCAGGCCGGGTTCAGGGCCGGGAGGGCCGCCTTGGAGAGCAGCTGGCCCCCCGCCCTCGCGCTGGGCTCCGCCGCCCCCGGCTCCTTCAGCGCCTTGAACTCCTCCGCAGGCATGGTCAGCACCTCAAGTCACAAAAGCAGAAGGAACACGGGGTTCATTATGGGATATAAGTGCCATCTCCCAATTGGTTCCATCAGAAAGGTTTATTAAACTACACCAACTTTGGACTTCAACTCCCACAATTCCTAACATCCGCAGGCCCTTCCTTTTCCCCCTCAGTCGCTTAATAATATTTTATTTATTTATTTACAATAATAATAATAATAATAATAATAGGGTTGTTGTAGGTTTTTTCGGGCTATATGGCCATGGTCTAGAGGCATTCTCTCCTGACGTTTCGCCTGCATCTATGGCAAGCATCCTCAGAGGTTGAGAGGTCTGTTGGAACTAGGAAAAGGGGTTTATATATCTGTGGAATGACCAGGGTGGGACAAAGAACTCTTGTCTGCTGGAGCTAGGTGGGAATTTGCATTTGATGGCCTGGCAGTGCTTGAGGCAATCTTTTGTTGAGGTGATTAGATTCACCTCTCAACAGATTCAGAAAGGAGGAAACCATGAAAATGAACAATAGCATTTGATGGCCTGGGGCAATCTTTTGTTGAGAGGTGATTGGATTCAACAGAAAGGAGGAAACCATGAAAATGAACAAAATCTGGCTACCAGTATTTTAAAAAAAACTAAAATTACAACAGCAAAACAACAGAGAGGAAACAAACAAGGACATCTAATCACCTCTCAGCAAAAGATGTAGGTGTAATAATAATAATAAATAGCAACAATAATAAAAATAAAAGAGTAAAATAAGAAATGTAATAATAGAGTAGAAAGAAATGTAATGACAAAACATAGAGTAAAATAAGAAATGTAATAACTAATAGAGTAAAATAATTGTAATAATAATAAATAGAATAAAATAGTAGATGTAATAATAGCTTCAATAATAAATAAATAAATAAATAAGAGACTAAAATAATAAATGTAATTAATAATAGAGTAAATTATAATAATAATAAATAGTGACAATAATAAAAATAATAGTAGAGTAAAATAAGAAATGTAGTAATAAAAATAAATGTAATAACAAATAGTGGAAAATAAGAAATGTAATAACTATAATAAAGTAAATGTAATAATAATAAATAGAATAAAATAATAGCTATAATAATAATAATAATAAATAGCTACAATAATAAATAGAGCAAAATAAGAAATGTAGTAATAGAGTAAAAATAAATGTAATACCAATAGAGTAAAATAAATGTAATAACTATAATAGAGAAAAGTAAATGTAATAACAATAATAATAAATAGAATAAAATAATAGATGTAATAATAATAAATAGCTACAATAAATAGAGCAAAATAAGAAATGTAATAATAGAGTGAAAATAAATGTAACACCAATAGAGTAAAATAATAAATGTAATAACTATAATAGAGAAAAAATAAATGTAATAATAAGAGTAAAATGTAAATGTAATAAAAATAATAGAGTAAAATAAATGTAGTAGTAGTAGTAATAATAATACTACTAATAATAATAATAGTAAATAACAGTAAAATAAATACCTTTTGACTCAAGTATAAGCCAAGGAGGGTTTTTCCAGCCCAAAAAAGGGATAAAAAACTCTGCTTATACTCAAGTATATATGGTACATGTTATCAGTACTCTGAGATTTTGAGTATTTAAATGTATTTTAAATGTTCAACATCGAAAATAATTAATTTAAAAATACCAATTTTTCCATCCAAAAAGTGGGGGGTGCGACTATTGTGCGATGAAACTCAATAGGCAACCGCAGAGGGGGAAATGGCACCCCAGAGCCTCCCAGCCCTTCTGGGCCACTCCCTCACCTTTAGTGAGACGTAGAGCTCTTCCTCGGTCAGGACGCCCTCCCATCCGACCACAAAGGCCCCTTCCTCACCCACCATCTCCAGGCCGCAGAGGTAGTCCCACTGCTCCAAGGTCAGCTGCCGCTCTTGGTCCGTCTTTGCGCCTACAGGGATGCAAAACCAAGGGCATGCTTCAAAAGGAAACCAAGGGCATGCTTCAAAACCAAGGGCATGCTTCGAAAGGAAAAGTCTCTCTCCTGGGGAGCCTCTTGCCTTCCAGCGCAGCCTGGAGGAGCGTCAACATCGGGATGTCGGCCGCGTCGTTGGTGTTGCCCGGGTACGGCTCGGCAAAGCCGTACATATGGAGGAGCTGCCAGTTGGCCAACTCTCCGTAGGTGTTGAAGATCTCTTGGCCTTTCAAGATGGGCCGGGTGGCCACCATCTTCAGCCGCTCCTGCAGAAAATGCCAGGAAAGGCAAGAATTGAATTACTGTATATACTTGAGTATAAGCCTAGTTTTTCAGTCCTTTTTTTAGGCTGAAAAAGTCTCCCCCGGCTTATACTCCAGTCAATGTTATTTATTATTTTACTTTGTTGTTATTATTATTGTTGAATTACTTTATTATTATTATTACATTTATTATTTTACGCTATTTATTATTGTTATTGTTACATTTATTATTTCCTTCTATGTCCCACCTCAGAGTTTAAGATCTTCGGGGGAGGCCCTGCTCTCGGCCCCGCCTCTATCACAAGTGAGATTGTTGGGGATGAGCAGGGCGTTCTCGGTGGTGGCCCCTCGCCTGTGGAATTCACTTCCCGGGGAAATTAGGTCATCGACATCCCTCCTCTCTCTTAGAAAGGGGTGTCTCTTCGATAAAAAATAATAAATAAATTGTATTGTCGAAGGCTTTCATGGCTGGAATCACTAGGTTCTTGTGGGGTTTTTCGGGCTATAGGGCCATGTTCTAGAGGCATTTCTCCTGACGTTTCGCCTGCATCTATGGCAAGCATCCTCAGAGGTAGTGAGGTCTGCTTCTGAGGATGCTTGCCATAGATGCAGGCGAAACGTCAGGAGAAATGCCTCTAGAACATGGCCCTCTAGCCCAAAAAAACCCACAAGAACCTCTAGAGTAAAATAATGGAAATATAATAACAATACAATAAAATAATAAATGCAATAATAGATTAAAATAATAAATGTAACAATAATAATAGAATAAAATAGAGTAAAATAATAAATGTAATAATAGAGTAAAATAACAAACCTAATAATAGATTAAAATAATAAATGCAACAATAATAATAAAGTAAAATAATAAATGTAATAGTAATAGAGTAAAATGTAACAATAATAGAGTAAAACAGAGTAAAAATAAATGTAATGACAATAGAGTAAAATAATAAACATAATAATAGATTAAAATAATACCAATAATAGAGAAAAGTAATAAATGTAATAATAATAGAGTAAAATAAGAAATGTAACAATAATAATAGAGTAAAATAGAGTAAAATAATAAATGTAATAATAAGAGTAAAATAACAAATGTAATTAACAGTAAAATAGAGTAAAATATATGTAATAACAATAACAGAATAAAATAGTAAGTGTAATAATAAAAGTAATAATAGAATAAAATAATGGAAATGTAATAATAACAATACAGTAAAATAATAAATGTAATAATAGAGTAAAATAATAAATTTAATAATAGAGTAAAATAAGAAATGTAATAATAATAGAGTAAAATAATAAATGTAATAACAGTAATAATAGAGTAAGATATATGTAATAACAATAATAGAGTAAAATAATAAGTGTAATAATAGCAAAAAATAATAAATGTAATAATAACACCAGAGTAAAACTATAAATGCAATAACAATAATTGAGCAAAATAAATAAATGTAATAATAATAACTAGAGTAATATATGTAATAATAATAAATAGCAAAAAATAATACATATAGAATAAAATAATAAATGTAATAACAGTAATAATAGAATAAAATTAATGTAATAATAATAATAGAGTAAAATAATGTGTAATATCAATAAATAGTAAAATAATAAATTTAATAATAAGAATAGAGTAAAGTAATTAATAATAATAATAGAGTAAAATAATGTAAATGTAATAATAATAATAATAATAATAATAATAATAATAATAATAATAATAAGGGTGAAAAGGAAAAGACCTGACACTGTTAGGAATGGTGGGAGTTGAAGTCCAAACACCTGGACAGAGGGCCAAAGTTGGTCCATGCATGCACTAAAGGCCTTGTAACAAGTCTATCCATTAAACAAGGCTTACCGGGGAGTACTCCAGGTTGGCGTTGTGGTTGGCCACGTGGTTGAGGAGGTCCGCCAGGGGCACCATCACGGGAGGATTGGGCTCGCCTTCCTCTTCGTCATCCAAAGGTTCCTGGAAACTAGTCGTAAGGAAATACATATACTACCATGTTTTTGAGGGGGAGACCCACATTGCCCTTCTCTTGGGGTGACCCCCTCGAGAAAAAAAATGGAAAATTACAAGCCAGAGAAAGGTTTAGACGGGGGGGGGGGGCACGAGAGAGTCGAAACAACAAAATTACAAAATAGTAATAATATAAAATAATATATCAGAGTATTAGTAAAATAATAATAAATAGTCCAATAATCAAGGCATTACAAAAGGGCAGAAAAGCTGGGAGGCTTGGAAAGCCAGGAAACTGAGGAACTGTGGGAGTTGAAGTCCAAAACGCCAAGTTGGCCTATGTTGGAGTTGAGCCTGTGGTTGTGTCTACTGATCAGAGTACTCTGGATGTTGGGAATGACAATGAGCTTCATGTAGGTAATGATGAAGTTGCTCTAGATGGGATTCCTGTTCAAAGTGTCTTTTCTGATGAGAATGTGTTCCTGAAAGGTTTGGGGATGATGGTTGGTGTGGTCCCTGAATGGCTACTAGAGAATTCCCATGATTTGGAGCCTGAGATTAGCTCGGCACCTGAAATAAATGAGCCAATAGATAGAAGGCATGTTTTTAGTCAGCACAGGCAAACAACCCAATCTCTCAGGCGTTCTGCCAGACTGAGAGAGAGATTGATAACAGAGTCAAAGCTGAAACTAAATCCGTTTCTGGCCGCTTGGGTCAATGAGTAGATTAGGGGATAAAAAGTGCCAAGCACAGAATCTGTAGTCAGACGAAGCAACATTGATATTGAATCACGACATTTTTCCTGGTCCTTGGAAGTATTGCCGTGGATAGATTCACGTGTTTAAGTGCCTTTGTTGATTCATGATTCAAGTTTTGGAGTTTTACCTGTTGAGAATATATGTGTGTGTTTTGATTAACTGTATTGTAGTTTTCAAAGTTAGTGTTTATGTGCTTAGAAATGTGATGCTTTGTAATGCAGTGTTCCGGAGATGCAATTCCTGTGTGGAAAGGGTTAACTGTATCATGAAGAAGGAGTTGTAAATCTCAGTGCAGAAAGTGTTGTACGCTGTGTTGCCATTGTACGTCACACATCATCACATCACTGTGGAATGTAAGGAGGTGCCTGATTCTAGATTACAACGAAAAGCCGAGCCATGTAGCTGCTCAAGCTGTTTCTTGTTCTGCTTAGCTTCTAGTGTGAATATTATTTTAGTTCTGTGTTTAATAAAGTAGCTCTAGTTTAAGAAGATGCGTTTCAGTGCCTTGTGTGTGCTGAGATCATTGCCATTCCATTGACAATTGGTTATGGGCCCAGCACGCTTTTGCTGTGCATACCTGTGGAACCTGTACAAGGCACTGAAACACATCTTTTTAAACTTAAACTACTTTATTTAGTTTTGTATTTAATAAAGTAGCTTAAGTTTAATAAGATGTGTGTCAGTGCCTTGTGTGTGCTGAGATCGTCGCCATTCCATTAACATTACCTTGGAAGTTTCTGTATTTGTTTTTCATGAATTTTGATGGATTAATTTCCTGGACTCTTTGTTCCTGCACCGCGACTGTGGCGCAAGCTGGCTGGGAGTCAGCTGCATTAAGATCACTACTGACCAAAAGGTCATGAGTTCAAAGCCAGCCCGGGTCAGAGTGAGCTTCCGACCAAATTGTGTAGCTTGCTGTCGACCTTTGCAGCCTGAAAGACAGTTGCATCTGTCAAGTAGGAAATTTAGGTACCGCTTATGTGGGGAGGCTAATTGACAACACCATAAAAATCTCTGTAAATAAATACATAAATAAATAAAAGGAAAGCACTAGATTAGAGTAAATAGTGTATCTAAAGGCTAATTTACAACGCCATTAAAATCTCTGCAAATAAATAAATAAAAGGAAAGCACTAGATTAAATAGTATATCTAAAGGCTAATTTACAATGCCATAAAAATCTCTGCAAATAAATACATAAATAAATACATAAAAGGAAAGCACTAGATTCAATAGTGTATCTAAAGACTAATTTAAAACGCCATTAAAATATCTGTAAATAAATAAATAAATAAATAAATAAATGGAAAGCACTAGATTAAATAGTGTATCTAAAGGCTGTTTACAACGCCATAAAAATCACCAGCTAGCATGCAAAGAATGAGGAAGTACTTCATCAGTGTCACAAATGGACGGTGAAGCGACAGCTCCCCTGGTGCTAATATACTGATTTACGAGGCCATAAAAAATCTCCAGCAAGCATGAAAAGAATGAGGAAATACTCCATCAGTGTCACAAATGGACGGTGAAGCGACAGCGCCCCTAGTGGCCAGAATAACCTCATGAAAAAAAGCTGGAATGTTAAATAGCCTCTGTATGTCTGTCTATATATATTTTGTGTGTCTATGGAAGTGCATGTTTGCCATGTATATGTGCATTGTAATTCACCTTGAGTCCCCTGCGGCGTGAGAAGGGCGGAATATACATACCGTAAATAAATACATAAATAAATAAAAGGAAAGCACTAGATTAGAGTAAATAGTGTATCTAAAGGCTAATTTACAACACCATAGAAATCTCCAGCTAGCATGCGAAGAATGAGGAAGTACTCCATCAGTGTCACAAATGGACGGTGAAGCGACAGCGCCCCTGGTGGCCAGAATACCCTCCTGAAAAAAGCTGGAATGTTAAATAGCCTCTGTGTGTCTGTCTATATATGTTGTGTGTCTATGGCAGTGAATTTCTGCCGTATATGTGTACATTGTAATCCGCCCTGAGTCCTCTGCGGTGTGAGAAGGGCGGAATATAAATGCTGTAAATAAATAAATAAATAAATAAATAAATAATCTTTCCACCTAATTGGATTTATATTGATACTAGCTGTCCCCTGTCACGCGTTGCTGTGGCCCACATGGGGGTTCTGTGTGGGAGGTTTGGCCCAATTCTATCGTTGGTGGGATTCAGAATGCTTTTTGATTGTAGGTGAACTATAAATCCCAGTAAGTACAACTCACAAATGTCAAGATTCTATTTTCCCCAACCTCCACCAGTGT